TTTTGAAGAATTCTGATTTCAGTTTTTAAATGGTTATCGCTATGAATTGGGCATAATAAAGGCCATGTGGATTACACATTTTCCAGTTGTCTAATATTTTAAATTAGTATCCGTATGAGTTTATGTCTTATAACATTTCTAAACATGCTCTATGATGTACTATAATTTTCACATTATTATCTCATACTTTGGTTTTAATAGTATTGGTAAAAGTTTTGAAGTTTTAATTTCAGTTTTTTCCTACTGCTCAGAATTTGATGACATAAAATAAAAAGGGGTTTTCATAGTTGCTAATGTTAGCCAGATTTTGTTCCAAAGCATGGGCTTTAGCAGACTTTTGAATTAAACCCACATTCTCCACCCAAGCCCTAGTGATCTAACTCAACAGTTCAAAGATAGGTATGCCATAAACAGCTATAGTTAAATAATCTAAAACAAAAATTAAACTATGGAAATATAATAAAACACGAATTGATCACTTTATGGTGGAGTACTCTATAAACTGTCTGCTTTGGAAACGTGTGTTGAGTTTTAAAACATCTGAGTTCTACAGTGCTAAAGTGTATAGTTCATGTGAAGGCAGAAACTATTTTTTCTCTTCTGCATATATATAAGAATTAAAGGTTAATATATTTTTTTGTGGTCCCAGTTTGCATTCATTTATTTATTTTTAATTTAGAAAAATCACTTTGGAGTACAAATACATACCATAAATATATCCACCTCATCTAAAAATTTTCCCATTAGGTACCGCAGTGTGATTAAAGAGATTAATTATGTAAATCTTGCTACTTTATTGATATGTGTAAAACAAAAACCACATATTAACATATCCCAAATAGGAAGAAACTATTTAAAAGCATATACCTGGTATAGAAAAGTAACAGGGTCTTTAATTTTTAATGATTGTTAAAATTTTTAAGGTATATAAGCTTATCTGAGTGTCATTATACCCACTGAGTAATAATTACAGGAGCTGAAAGGTCCCAGTGGTTTTGCAATGTAATTTCTGTACAATCTCATTTAACTTGTTAACTGAAGTTACAACCCTCCTGTGTATGAGGCTGTTGAACTCTTAACAATCACAAAAAATGCCGGCATTAGAGTATACTCTTTTAAATGGAATAATTCACTTTATTTTCTGGGTTGCCTAAAAAGTTACATTATATGTGTATAAATGATGCTAAAACAGCCTGGTAAGGGGAAATAGAGCAGTGTTTATTTTACTGAGTAGTGAAAAGGCCAGTTCAATTTCTTAGCTTATTCAACTTTTTTTTTAAAAGATTTTTTCATATACTGAAAAAAACCCCAAAACATATAAAATAAGACTCTTTCTTAAATACTGAAAATGAATGTGTTTCATTGTTAGATTGTGATATCCCTACCACTGTAGGATTTTGTCATAATCTGTTTTCTTTTCATCTCCACCCATTCCTCCTGCAAAATGGTGTTTTAAAAGGCTACGTTTTGAGGCAAGCAAGGAAGGAAGCACGAGTGAGTGTTAGGTGAGGGGTGAAGCACCCTATCCTGTCTCCTGCACAGCCCCCCAGCGCCTGACATTTGGGAAGCAGCATCAGAAGCCTCCTGGCACAGAAGACCCAACTCATTTGGAGGCACCATGCTGCTTAGTGAAGAGAGAGAAAGGGAAGGGACAGCGTCTCAGTAGGGGCCCCAGAAACTTCTAGTGACTTCATTACCTTATAAGATCCTGTGATGTAGATGGGGGTTGGGGAGGGGGCAAATCATTTTTTCACCTGGGCCCCCCTGTCCCACGTTTTTGACAGGCAAAGTTGCACAGGCCGTTTTCTGAGGGCCTGTCCAGTCCTGACAGGCTGTCTGGGGAGTCCTGTGGGCCAGACAGTGCTCTGCGTGCTTGTTTGTCTCCAGATGCTTCTTTCTCACCTGCTCTATGGATGGGGACATTAATAAGCCCTGGGATGCCAACAGCCAGCGAGGGGTCAAGCCGGGGTTTGTGTGGGCCTCGGGCTCCAGAGCCCCACTCTTCACCACTGTGCTCAGCAGCCATCTCCTGCTGCAGTCACCTGTGTGTGTCCCGAATCCAAGACAGGCCACTGTGTTGTAGGTGTAACGTGTATACAAAGCAAATACAAGCTCATGTACAACTCATGTTCCAACAGGAGGAGGAAGCAGGCTGTTTTTTCAAGGGAAGAGTTAGCTGAAACTATTTCCTGCTGAGAAAAGAAAGCTTAATTTGAATTTGTTTTTCACGTTCTTTGTAGAATTGGAGGTTCAGTGTACAACTCTGTACTCTGGTCCATTTTATTAAGCTAAGAAAAAAGTGAACACCATTTGTTTAGAAAATTTACTGAATCACAGCAAACCAGCCAGGAATAATCTTGCCTGTGAAGACAATATTTATTTTTCAGATGGACGTAAAGACCAAGACAGCTATTAGTGTCTTTAACACACCATTTTATTTACCAGTTTTAACAGAGATGAAAGGGAATCATCATCAGGGGCATCTCCCAGCTCAGAGGATGCAGGGGCAGCTGCTCAGAAGAGGGCACCTCTGGGTTCACGTGTGGAGCAGAGGTGAAGGGAGCCTCCCCACTGGGCACCCCTCCTGCCGGAACAGCTTCTGCTGGCACCCCACATGGAGTCGTGCAGTGGAGGGCAGCATGGACAACTTCTCTTGGCCCCATATGCCCAGTCTCAGCTTTGGTTTTCCTGGCATTCCCGTTCTTGTCAGATGCATTGTTTTTAATATTTGTTTCTGCATTTCCACTCACTTAGCAAAAACTTGTCTAATGAGATAATGTTTTGTTACAAAGCCACTCAGTGCTTTCCGATCACCTGGGGGTGCACCTGTCTGGAAGTGCAGGCCCTTGTGAGCTCTAGATTGGGTTGGAAGCCTTCAGTTAATTAAAGAAGAGATGGGGAGGAGGTGGCCTTATGTTGGGAGATGGATCTTGCCCAACTTTGCTCTCCTGCAGTTGGAGAGGATGGATTCTGCCAGCTGGTATCTGTGAACTCAGTGTCCTAAGTTGCATCCTCAGGTGTGTGTATGTAAAAAGGACATCTGTATTTTGGTGACATATAGTTTGCTGTCTGTCTCTGGGCCTGAATGACAGAAATAAAAGCATGTCAAATGCTCTGCTCTGTTCTGTGTTTTAACTGTGTATGGACATATTTTTGTTATTCCATTTTCTTATTTATGTAAGGTGCTAGGTGGGCATGAGCAAGGGAAAAAGTCATTTTAGGGTTTATTTTTTAAAAGATCCACCTAGGAAGTGTGAGTGGAGTGGTGAGAAGCGCACAGAGGCCATTCAGTCTGTTGCCTCCTCTCTCAGCGATGCACAGCTGCAGGAGTCCCAGGCTGTGGGGCTATGTGGGACTCAGGTTGGGGGAGAAGCACTACATTTATGAAAATGTGGAACCTCTTTGCTTTGGGAATGTAGGAATCAGTTCAGCTTTTCTCTTGGTATGTGTGTGCCTGAGAATGTGACTTTTTAAGTTGTGGGGTCCTTCCATTGATGTTCAGAGAAATGGGAGAGCTAGAATATTTGATTTTACTTCTCTGTGCTCAGGAAGACTCACTCAGTCATGACAGAAGGCATTGTGTCTTAAAATGTGGACCAAGATGACCTGCAGCACAATTCCTCCAAGGGCCTGTTACAAGTGCATATTTTTAGACTTTTTGGATCAGAATTTTAAAGGATTGAGGATTGGAAGTCTGCATTTAAAGAAAGCATCAGGGGTGGTTCTTGTGTACTGAGATTCAAAAACCACACCTATAGAGTAGGATGCAAATGCCATTGCTCAAAGGGCAGATGATGTCTGACAATCACTTGTTGTGTTACTGATGCTGGTCTGTGTAGTAAGTACTTTTATGAAAAACATATAAAAAGTGAAGCAGTTACCTGAACCCTTGGCTTCAGCTAGGGCTCCCCCTGCCAGGATGGTCACCATCCTAAGTGCTAGGGTAAAAATGAGGACAACTCACCCAGTTAGCTGTCCTTTGCCTGTTTGACTCATTCCGGTTATTGGCCTGCAGAAAAGTCTAACTCAAAAACTTTTGGAATCTTTTGTGCTTTAGTCATTCTGAACAAAAAATTAGAAAGTGTTATATTTATAGAGTTAACTATAAACTGTATTCACTATGTAGTACTTTACATCCGTGATATCTGTCTATCTGTCTATCTATCTATCTATCTATCTATCTATCTATCTATCTATCTATCTATCTATCATCTCTATCTCTATCTCTATATCATCTATATCTATATCTCATCTATATCTATATCTCTATCCATCTATCTATATCTGGTGCCAAAAAAATGTATACACATTTTAAGAAAGTAAAACTGTATTAAAATTGTAATACTCAATATATACTGATAACAAAAGATGAATACAAGTCACGTTTGACTTCTGCAATTACAAGAGGTGCTCAAAGTGGTTACCATCAGCGTCCAGACACTTCTGATTATGGCGAACTACTGCTTGAGCAATGTTGACCAAGGTGTCCACTTGTATACATTTTTTTGGCACCCCTGGTATATAAGTTCACCGTAATCAGAAGTGTCTGATTTTGTATATATATATATATATATTTGACATTCAATATTATTCTACATAAGCTTCAGGTGTACAGTGAAGTGATCAGGCATCTACACAGTCTATGAAATTGTAATAGCTATGTATAGTGTCAGAGGGGTAGTAGACTTGGGGGGGCAGTTATCACTTTGTGAGGGGTGTAAATGTCTTATCATTATATTGTTTTATACACCTGAAACTAATATAAAAAACAAAATAAAAAAATTAGTATCTGTGACAGCATTTACTAAGCTGCAAAATGCTAAATAAATATTAGGTACTAAAAAAAAATTTCTAGAGTTAAGCAGTTTTTGCAAAATGTGTTAATATGGGTTAAAATCTATTTTATTGCCAGAGTTATATTGTATATCAATTGAGTATTGCTTTAAATACAAAAAGTAGCTAATTTTGTAAAATATTTATTTGCTTTTTCTTTTTAACAGGAAAAACTAACCCAAGAGTGTGTATTCAGAGAACAATTTGAAGAAAACTGGTATAATACGTACTCTTCAAATCTGTATAAACACGTGGACACTGGAAGGCGATACTATGTTGCATTAAATAAAGACGGGACCCCAAGAGAAGGAACGAGGACTAAACGGCACCAGAAATTCACACATTTTTTACCTAGACCAGTGGATCCTGACAAAGTACCCGAACTATATAAGGATATTCTAAGCCAAAGTTGACAAAGACAATTTCTTCACTTGAGCCCTTAAAAAAGTAACCACTATAAAGGTTCCATGCGGTGGGTTCTTATTGATTAGCTGTGTCATCACATCAGCTCCACTGTTGCCAAACTTTGTCGCATGCATAACGTAGGATGGAGGCTTGGATGGGAACACGCTGATTTTGTTCTGCACTTGTGGGCCTGCCCTCAGGGATGCCAGCCTGTACCCACTGGCTTGATTTATTGTGAGAAGAGGAGACTGAGAGCAGGGATGTGAGTGTGTGAGTGGATGAGCTGTGGGGAAATTGAAGAGAGGAGGATGCAGAGAGGACGACAGCCTGATGCATGCTGGGGAATAGACACGCTTTTACATGTCCAATCAGTTGTCCTTCGCCCTGTGTCAGCACAGCTGCCACACTCCGACTCATCAGGACCTTGGCTGGTGCCCTGCCAAGGATACGCTGCATTTTCAAAGGCATGGAGGGTGCAGTCTCACTTAAGAGACATTTTCAGTTAATTCTCACTGGTGCCATCCCAGTGAATTTAAAGCAAAGACCTCTTAGTAAAAAAAAAAACAAAAAAAACAAAAACAACCCGCCCCCCCAAAAAAAACAAAAAAAGTTAAATTTATTTATAGAAATTCCAAAGGCAACATTTTATTTATTTTATATATTTATTTATTATATAGAGTTTATTTTTAATGAAATATGTACAGGCCAGATAGGCATTTTGGAAGCTTTAGGCTCTGTAAGCATTAAATGGCAAAGTCCGCTACCAACCTGTGGTAAATTCATGCAAGTAAATATAACTTTGCATGGACATGAGAAATTCTAATGACCCTCTAGTGTGCTAAAGGCGACAATCTCTTTTGTGCCCGTCTTATTGTAAACTTATGCACATCATTCATGACACCGAGTATTCACTCTTCAGACTGCTTGTTTCATAGCTTATCCCAGAGGATTAAAGACAAACTGGGTCTCAAACTTTTATTCTGTGTCTGTACTATTTCCTCTCTCCTAAGTGACTTACGCCATCATTGTAACATCACGGTTGGAAAATATAAGGGTTGGTGTATATCCTACTTCTTTAAATCTATCACAAAATATACCAAAGCTAAGCAGTAGCCATGCTTTTATTTTAGTTGCTCGCCAGAACAATGGGACGAACATCAAACATTGTATTGATTTAGAGTTCTCAAAAAGGAAAAAGAAAAAAGCTTACATAGCACAGATTTTTTTTTAAGAGACAAGAATCAGATTAGTAGGATCATTCTTGTAAACTTTTTATTTGTGCATTTGGTTACCAAATATGAAATTATACAAGTACCGTAGGGGTCATTGTAACATCTTTTATAGAAAATTGGTTTTGGTGTGAACTGTCATAATGTGTGGTAATAGCCCCAAGTAAAACTCACAAATGAAACTAATAAATCATCAAATAATGACAATGAGGGGGAAAATATTATACTTGTTGACTTGTGTCTTGTTTTGAAAACAGTCTTCACAAGAGCTCAGTTTTTTTTAGAGGGGAGGTTATTACATAGAATATCTTTTTTCAAGGCTTTTATAACATTTTGTGTTGAAAAGCATAAGAATACATATTTCTTTAGTAGCAATAATTTTGCAACTTGCCCTTGGGCAAGGGAGACTATTTCTTACTATATACTAAGGAGAAAAGAGCCAAATTCGTAAAGCAATAGTTAAGAAAAAGTAATTTATAACAAATTCTCATACCACATAGAACAGTTTCTAGCTAGTTAGGTTGGGAAATTGAAAGTGACAGTTAAAAAATGTGTTGGGATTTATGTAGCTAATTTTAAAATTTAATATTCCAACTTTCTTTTGCTTTGATGTACATTCTCTAAGAAAAAATAAAAGTATGTCACTGGTGAGTTAAAGCTGTTTTGGAGTAGAAGCCCATGACTTATTGCCACGAACACATGTGGCCCTTCTGAGGTCCAAGTTGGAGTTCACAGCAGAGCCTTCCTGCCGATGTACATTAAGGACAAACTAAGTCTAACATTTAAAATTAAGAACTAATTTGGGGGAAGGGGACTGAAGCAATGTAAAATAGTTGATTTATGGTAAAGGTCAGAATGTTCTCTTCATTTATTTTCTTTTTCTTTTTTTTCACTTTCTAAACAGAAACTGCATTTAATTGCAAGATGTAGTAATCTTATTTATTATTTAACCCTTTGCTGCTGCTAAAATGTGCACCTATTCAGGCTTTAGTTTTTCCAAAATGCATTTAATATTTTTGGCTGAAAAACATTAAACATCTGACCACAGGGAAGAATCAAGTTTCTAGGATGTCCCCATAGGTACAATATTTAGCATTGAAAAGTTGATTTTAGGAGATAGCCAAAAGTAATCTTAAAGTAGAATGAGGTGCTCATCAGCCTAAAAGAAAGGAAACAATTTGTGAAAAAGACTAAACTGTCCATGCATTGCAAGAAAATGTTACTTTAATGTCTACTTTTGGCGTTATTTTGTTTTGGTAACTTTTTTTAAAAAAAGAAAAAATGTTATATGCTTTTGGCAAATGATACAATAAACTGTAATGGTCTGTAAATAAATAAATACTGACTTATGCAATTTATGTACATGAATGTTCTGGGAGAGTAGGTGGCTCAGGGTTTGGGCAGGCACTGCCCTGATGGGCAGTACAGCAATTACCCCCAGCTTGTGGCTTTGCATGGGTTCTTGTCCTAAGAGACCCAGAGCCCTTTGGATGGCAGACCTGAGCTGCTGTGGAAGGGGTGGTCCCAGTTTTCATGAACAGATGCTCACACAGTCCAATCACTATGTTTTTGGTGCCAACACATGCACCTTGGTCAGAGACTTAACAGGCATTATTGAACAACACCCCCCCCCACATCTGTCATGTGCATATTGCAGGCAGCGTCGAAGGACATGCCAGACAGTGTTGGAGGAGAGGATCTCTTCCTGCCATGTCTTGTGTAGATAAACGAATGGCTTCGGTTTATGGTCTTTTCATTCTATTTCATCTCATTAACACTACGACTTTGTGTGATTTCCTTGATAATCTGTAATTGTATGTAAATACATACAGGATTATGTAATTTGTGTAAATACATAATTACAGACCTTTGAAAACTGGTAGTTTTTACTTGATGTCCATTTTGGAGCTGCTTCAAAATATGTGCCTACATGAACCAATGGAATTTTAAAAACATGCTCTTGCTCTTACAGCTGCTGTGTATATGTTGAGGGGTGGGGGTGGGAGATGGAGGGGAAGGAACAAACACATCCAGATGTCTTTTTTTTTTTTCTGTAAGCATTAGATGGAGAAGTGGGTAACCTTCTAGGATGGATGTCTGTGGACTTGCAGCAAGCAAAATGCAGTGTGTGTGCATGTCTACATGGATGGGTGAATGGACAAAGGCATATTGTTTGAGGTCAAGTTCTGTTTGCTGTATCATTTGACCTTGAAATGTGCCAAATTTAGATTCACTGATTGCGGTCACTTGCACAAAAGAGCAATGAAATGGTGGGGGTGGAGGAAATATGCCAGATGAATTCAGAAGATGTGTTGGCCACCAAGCCCTTCTCAAGGGTATGTGTGTGTACTTTTACACATTATTTAATACCCATGTGTGTCCATAGACATTGCATATTTTATTTAAAACACTTTTTTGCCACCTCAATTATTTTGAGTTCTGGTAAAGTTTCTGAGAACAAACTGGTGTTAGAATGTATTATCTTGGCATTACCATGAAAATTTAAAAAGCATATTCCTTGGGCCTCAAAACACTCCTAGACAATTTAGGACATACATTATCTAGGTTAACTTAATTTTATTTTATTATTTTTATCCCCACCCCTCCCCTTTGGTAACTATTATCTATGAGTCTGTTTCTGTTTATTCATTTATTTTTTTAGTTTCCACATATAAGTGAGATCACATGGTATTTGTCTTTCTCTGTCTGACATTTCACTTGGCATAATACCCTCTAGGTCCATCCATGTTGTTGCAGATGGCAATATTTCATTCCTTTTTATGGCTGAGTACTAGTCCATTGTGTATATGTACCACATCTTATTCATCCATCTGTCAATGGACATTTAGATTGTTTCCATATCTTGGTCATTGTAAATAATGCTGCAATGAACATAGGGGTGCATATATCTTTCTGAATTAGTGTTTTGCATTTCTTCAAATAAATACCCAGAAGTGGAATTACTATGTCATATGGTAGTTCTGTTTTTATTAAAAAAAAAACTATTGGGGAACAATGTGTTTTTTTCAGGACCCATCAGCTCCAAGTCAAGTTGTTGTCCTTCAATCTTAGTTGTGGAGGGTGCAGCTCATCTCCAAGTCCAGTTGCCATTTTCAATCTAGTTGCAGGGACACAGCCCACCATTCCATGTGGGAGTTGAACTGGCAACCTTGGTGTTAAGGGCACACACTCTAACCAACTGAGCCATCTGGCCACCCACTGGCAGCTCTGCTCAAGTCGTTGTCTTCAATCTAGTTGCGGAGGGCACAGCTCACTGGCCTATGTGGGAATTGAACTGGCAACCCTGTTACTTGGAGCACGTGCTCTAACCAACTGAGCCACCCGGCCACCTCTATTTTTAATATTTGAGGAACCTCCATACTGTTTTCCACAGTGGCTGCTCCAGTTTGAAATCCCACCAATAGTGCACAAGGGTTTCCTTTTTTCCCACATCCTCTCAATACTTGTTGTTTGTTGATTCATTGATGATAGCCATTCTGACAGGTGTGAGATGATATCTCATTGTGGTTTTAATTTACATTTCCCTGATGATTAGTGATGTTGAACATCTTTCATATGTCTGTTGGTCATCTGTATGTCCTCTTTGGAGAAATGTCTATTCAGGTCCTCTGTCCATTTTTTAATTGGATTTTTGTTTGTTTTTTGGTGTTAACTTGTTTGGGTTCTTTATATAATTTGGATATTAACCCTTATTGTGTGTATCATTTGCAAGTATGTCTTTTGATAGGAGTATTTAATCTATTTAAAGTAATTATTGATAAGTATGTACTTATTGCCATTTTGTTAATTGTTTTTATAGTTGTCCTCTGTTCCTATCTTCTTCTCTTGATCTTTTCCCTTATGGTTTGCTGTTTTTCTTCAGTGTTTTGTTTAGGCTCCTTTCTCTTTGCTCTTTGTATATCTTTTGTAGATTTTTGGTTCGTGGTTACTGTGATGATTAGGTGATTAGGTATATCATTCTTTATCTGTAGCAGTATATTTTAAGCTGATAGATGTTTAAGTTCAAATATATTCTATAAGTATGCCATGCTTTATATTATTGTTGTCATTTTTTAGATCTTTTTGTGTGGTGTATCTTCTAGCTACTTATTGTAGTTTGAGTTGAGTTTGATACTTTTTTTCTTTTAACCTTTATAGTATTACAGTTTTATAAATGTCTTATTTGCTGTATTTATTGAATATTTGGCTTTACCTGTGAGGTTTTTTTCCATTCTCTTATTTTCTTATTTCTGGTTATGGCCTTCCCTTTTCTACTTAAAGAAGAAGACCCTTTAACATTTCTTGTAAAGCTGGTTTAATGGTGATGAAGTCCTTTACTTTTTGCTTGTCCCAGAAAATGTTTATTTTTCTTTCAATTCTGAATGATGACCTTTTGGGTAAATTATTCTCTGTTGTATTTCTTTCAACACTAGAAAGATGTCTGCCACTCCCTTCTGGCCTGTAAAGTTGCTGCTGAGAACTCAGCTTTTAGCCTTATGGGGTCTCCTTCGTACATAGCTCATTGTTTTCCTCTTGCTGCCTTCAAGATTGTCTCTTTGTCTTTAACTTTTGCCATTTTAATTACAATATGTCTTGGTGTGTGCTTCTTTGGGTTCATCTTGTTTGGAGCTCTCTCTGCTTCCTGGATCTGGATGTTTGTTTCCCGATTTAGGACTAAGTTTTTAGCTATTATTTCTTTAAATACCATTTCTGTTCCTTTCTCTCTTCTCCTCCTGGGATCCCTATAATGTAAATGTTTGAGGGCTTGATGTTATCCCAGAGGTCCCTTAAACTGTCCTCATTTTTTAAAATCATTTTTTATTTCTGATGATCTGATTGGTTGATTTCCACTAGTCTGTCTTCTAGGTTGCTGACTCATTTTTCTGTGTTCCCTTATGTGCTATTGATTCCTTCTAAGGTGTTTTTCATTTCAGGTATTGTATTCTTTAGGTCTGCTTGTTTTTTTCTCATACTTTCTAACTCTTTGTTGAAGTTCTCCTAAGTTCCTCTATTTCACTCTCAAGTTTGGTGAGCATCCTTATGACCATTTCTTGGAATTCTTTATCAGACAAATGACTTATTTCTGTTTCCTTAGGGTTTTTTCCTGGGGATTTTTCTTGTTCCTTTATTTGAAAGATACTCTTTTGTCTTCATTCCATTTGACTTTCTATGTGTGTTTATATGACTTAGACAAAATAGCTGTCGCTTTCAGTCTTGGGAAAGTGGCCTTATGTATAAGCGGGCTCAGTGTAGACTGTGTGTGCAGTAGGACTTGGCAGGCCAGTAGGAGCCAAGAGGGTGTCTGGGGACTCCCCATGGAATGGGAGCAGCTCCAGTTGGGGAGGGAGGTGTATGTAGTAAGGCCCTATTAATCTGCCTGCTCCCTTTGTTTGGGCTGAAATGGGCTCAGGTAATGTGACCAGGAACATGCTGTGGTGATCTTGCAGGTAGGCCAGATCACCTGGATAGAGCCCTCATCCACCCTATGAAGCGGGAGTGGGACTTAAATAGTGGCGCTCACCATATCCTCCAACCATGGAGAGCTCCCATGGCTTCCCAGCCATGTCTATATAGTCTCTTTCTGGTTTGTTGTACAGAAAGTTGCCCATATAGAAGAGACCTCTGCATAAGCACTATGTGCTAGGTAGGTTGGGAAAGCCACTTGGCGCCAAGCAAGCACATCTGGGGCCAGAGACACGAGCAGGCCCTTCTGAACTCAGAGCACAAGCTGGCACTTCTATTGCTTAGTGTGCAAACAGGCACTTCTGGCACATGGTGCACAACGGACACTTCTTGCATCTGGGGTGGAAACCAACTTCCAGTGCTTAGTGTGCGAGTGGACACTTCAGTGCCTGGAGCCCAGCAGGCACTTCCGGCGCCTGGAGCACTACCTGCAGGCTGGAGCAGCTTCCGGCAGGAAGGCCAAGTGTGTGTGGTGATGCTCTGCTGTTCCTGCTGCCTTTGTTGGGAGCCCAAGGCTCCAGGCCATGTGGCTGTGACTGCCCTGCAGTGGTCCTGCAGGTAGGCCAAAGCCCCCAGTAGAGCTCCTGCAGCCCTAGAGAGGTGGAGGGGATGTAATGATGGTGCCACGGGCCCCTCCGGCTGGAGAGTTCCCGCAGTTCCCTGTCTTTCCAGCCTCTCTATCAGTCTCTTTCTTTTTTTGTTGTCAGAGCTGTTCATCCAGGCCTTGGTTGTCTTGCAGGAGTACTTGCTACCCTCATATGTGTTTATTTGAGCTTGCTCACTGGTGGGGTAAGGACAGCGGTCTCCTATGCTGCCTGCCGCCATCTTGGACCTCCCGACATGGCACGTTTTAAAATCTATATTTTGTTGTTAAAAGTGGAACAGGGAGGAATTGTAAGGATTAACTGTGCATACTTCCTTCATTACATAGCCTAAAATTCTGGGGTTTAGATTTCTAGAATGAATCACAATAGGTTGGTTACAAAGGTGTGAACAGTGGCTTAACAGTGTGATCTCTGCCTTTTACTTGCAGTGTGCCTGAGTGGCTGTCTGCTCTTAGGTCTTTAGAGGAATTTGTTTTCCAGTTTTATTGAGGCATAATTGGCATACATCTCTGTCAAAGTTTAAGGTGTACAGCATAATGATTTTAGTTATATATATTTTGAATTGATAACCATAAACACTTTAGTTCCAGATGTCATCATCTAGAATTGTTAATGTAACATTTCTTCACTAGGGAGGAACATGCTGAAAAAAGAAATTGTGTCTTTTATAATTTAATTTGGAAGGAAATTTAATTTGCTTTGTCACCAGCACAGTCATCAGGTTGATGAACTTTAAGGCTGGATTATTTAACAGCCACCAGGGAGGCCAGGACAATTTCAAAGAGAGGCCTTTTTGCTATTTTGGATAATA